GCGGCCTCTTCCGCCCACTGGCGGGGTGGTGGTGCCGCGGTACGCCCCGCGGCCGCTCAGCGCTGCCTGGCCCGACCTGACCCGATCGGGCCTGGGCTGCTTGGCACGTTCGCGGCGTCGCAAACGCCGCGCTGCAGCCGCGGGAAGGCCGATCTGGCGGCGGCACCCACGCCGCCGTCGCGCGCAGCTCACCTCCCGGCTCCCGCTGTTGGCTGCCGGCGTTTTTGTCGGGGCCGTTGGCGCGTTGGTGGCAAAACTGGGCGTGGCGTGTTGCCTCTGATCAAACACGCGCCTCTCAGCGGCGGGCCGGGGCCGGGGACGGGGACAGGGACGGGGGCGGCGGCGGCGGAGCGTCGCGCCTCGAGCACCGCCCATCGGTCTCGAGCTAGCTGCTGCGCCGCCGCTCAGACGTCTTCTGAGCAGTGCCACTGTGGCGAGCGCCGGCCAATGTGCGTTGCTTCACAATGCGGCTGTGTGTGCTGACCCGGTGCCAACGGCCGACCGCCGGCTGTGTGTGCACTGTACTGCCCTGGGCAGCTGACGCCGCGACGTGTGGCGACGGTACGCGCGCCCCGGGCTCTCATCGGCACGTGGGCTGCAGCCTCGCCTGCAGACTGTGCACAGGACTTCTCAGCGACCGTCAGCGCCGCGGGCGAACGTGGTATCCGTGTTTACATTCCGCAGGTTAATGGGGGCCCACAGGCCCGGGTCATGCGTGTTTACACAAAGCGGCCGGCGGTGTGCACATGGTCGTGGTCGCTGGCCTCGGCTGGCCCGCTGACCCCGGCGCTGCTGCCGCTGATCTATCAGCGGGCGCGCCGCGGCAGTGCGACGAGAGACGGCGCCGGTGCGCGCCACTCGGGAGGCGTTACTTCGCCGATAGAACATCGAACCGGGCACTGAGCTCGCGCCATCCATTTACGGCCGGCGCCAGATTCGCCCGACCTTTCCGCAAAAGACGCTGAGTGGTATAGATGGGCTCTCCCGCACCGAGAGCGGGGAAATTCAGTGGGGCTCGTTTGTTGCCAGTTTGGCCGCGCTTATGTGGGTCAGACCTGCTGACCTGCTGCGTGAATGGCGCGGCGGGCGCTGCGGCTCAGCCCTGCAGAGCGGCCGCAGCCGGCGATGCCTGTGACGCGCACCGGTAATCGGATGCCGCACGCGGCCACTTGAAGAGCTCAGTCGTCCGGCGTTACTGCCGTCTCCGCGGAGCCGCCCTCGCACGGCGGTCGGCTCCCCGCATTCCTCGCCCCCTCCCCCAGCGTGGCCCGCAGCGGTGGATGTCCCGCCGCCGCCGCCGTCGCCGCCGTCTGGGTGTGACGCTGCTCGCTCGCCTGGTCGCCCGGCCGGCGGGCCGGCGGACAGAGCCTGTTTGTTTATGGTTCCGGTAGTTATGCGGCCGATTTAGACCCCCGGCCTGGCGGTGAATCACGCCGGCCCGGCCGACGCGGCACTCCCATAGCCGGCCATTGTCGTCGCCGTGCAGAGCGGCAGATAAAAAATGATCGTATGGGTGCTGGGAGCTGGGTGAAATGAGCGGGTTAAATCCATTTTGCCGTGCAACGCCAGAGGGTACTGCCGCAGGATTCTAAGTGAGTCGACGGGGAAAGGTGGGAGAGAGGGAGGCGAACAACTACCCATGTGCACCGAGGTCCCACGCCAATGCCAATGGTGGGAAGGACGCCCCGCTTCCGGGCGTATCTGAAAGGCTGGACATATCTGACCAGAAGCGTGCACACTTAATTGGCACGGTAATTGACAGCTAGCGAAGTCAGTGACCTGGTAGCCACAGGTAGCCGCGTCACAACAAATCCTCACCTGAGGCCTACAGTCGTTCGTGTGTGTCACGGGTGAGTTCATTTGCGACGGAAGTCATCCGTAACGTGACAGGTAACTGTCCTGGGGTGGCACCTGCCAAGCAAGAGCGAGCCTCCTGCCTCGTCAGTGGCTGGGCAGAGCACCGCGAGCCGCAATGGCGACGGACAAGCGGCCGCCTCTGTGCGGTGTTCCCGTGTTGGCTGGCCCGCTGCGCCGCGGCGTACCGTGCTCTGAGCAGGGCCCGCTGACTGATCCCGCGCCATGTGTCCGCAGGTGTCGCGTGGGCGCTGCGCGCGGGATGGCCGGCCCGCACTGGCCGCCGTGGGCCCTCTGCGCCACGCTGCTGGCGACGCTGGCGCCGGCCGCCGCCCGCGCCAGCTACATAGTGAAGGAGTTCAGTGACAGCTTCGTGACGGACAAGCTGAACCACATGGTGGTAGACGAGCACACCGGCCGCGTGTACGTGGGCGCCATTAACCGACTGTACCAGCTGAGCCGCGACCTGGACCTGGTCATCTCGGTGGAGACGGGGCCCGAGGACGACGACCCCGAGTGCTCGCCGGCCAACGAGTGCCCGGCGTACGTGGTGAAGCGGCCGACGGACAACGTCAACAAGGCGCTGGTGATCGACAAGACGCACGGCACGCTGATCGTGTGCGGCTCGCTCTTCCAGGGACGCTGCCAGGTGCGCAACCTGCACAATGTGAGCGTGGTGGAGCGCCAGGCCGAGGAGGCGGTGGTGGCGAACAACGAGACGGCTTCGACGGTGGCATTTATCGCGCCCGGACCGCCCAACCCGCCCGAGACGCACGTGCTGTACGTGGGCGTCACGTTCACGGGCGGCGCGCGCGCGCCCTACCGCAACGAGGTGCCGGCCGTGTCAAGCCGCTCACTCGACCGCGACCGCATGTTCACCATCTCGGAGCTGGCCGTCACCACCGGCACGCGCATGTCGATCAACTCACTGGCGCGCGAGCGCTACTACATCAGCTACGTGTACGGCTTCGGCTCCAACGGCTTCAGCTACTTCCTGACGACGCAGAGCGCGGCGCAGCACTGAGACCAGCCCGTACATCTCGAAGCTGGTGCGCGTGTGCCAGGACGACCCGCACTACTACTCATACACCGAGATCCCGATCGACTGCATCGACGACAAGGGCATCAAGTACAACCTGGCGCAGGCGGCGCACGTGGCCACGGCCGGCTCGGACGTGGCCACTAAGCTGGGCATCACGGCGCAGGACGACGTGTTGTACGCCGTGTTCTCCGTCAGCGAGCGCAGCGAGGGCGAGAACTCGGACAAGCCCACCAACAAGTCGGCGCTGTGCGTGTACTCGCTCAAGGACATCCGGCACAAGTTTACGCGCAACATCATGGAGGAGTGCTACCGCGGCAACGTGGATCGCGGTCTCGAGTTCATCTCGCCCGGCAAGAAGTGCGTCTCGACGGTGAGTACCCGGCCGACGCTCGGTGTCACGCTCCCCTCCAGCGCACCTCGAGCCGGCACTTCATCGGCACTACTGTCGCGCTGGTCACTCGTACCGCCTCGGCGGTCTTCGGCGGCCACTCCAGCGGCGGTGGCGATCGCCGGCGATTGCTGACCAACCCGGCCTGCTCCCCTCCACCACCCGCGGGCGCGGGCCGGCGGCGCGCGCGCCCTGCAGTCCATGAGCCGGTTCATGAGGCCGCGTCCGTCTACGCGCGCCCATTGCAGTCCCCACACGTACGCCGGCAGGCGTCTATTGATTCCTTCCTGGGCGGGCGGGCCGGCCGGCCGTTCGGGCCGGACCGGCCGCCTTTGTAGCGGCGCGCCGGCCGAAGCGGCCGCGTCCACAGCGGCGCCGCCCGCCGACGGCTCGAGATGAGGCTCTGGCCCGACCGTCATCGCCGCCAACCGCGCCTGATGACTTCTGGCGATGACGTGCGCCGGTGGCGACCGGCTCGCCGCCATCCGTCATCGTGGCAGACGGCGCCCCCCGCCGCTCTGCGCCGCGCGCCGACCCGCCGACGCTGGGCAGGGATGGGATGCGCGGTGTTCCGCGTGGCTGAGCGCCGTGTTGGTGCACCGCTCCGGGCTGCCGCGCTCGCTGGCGGCGGCGAATCGGGCCGCAGCGGGCCAATCTGGCTCGAGTGGGTCGTACCGGGAGCGCTTCAGGACGTGTGATGGTCGGCCACGCGCAGCCTCACGGCTCAAGCGAGTGTTTGGCGCCGGGTGGGGAGCGTCGTAGTCGCGGGCCAGGTTCATGTAATCGCCGTTGACTGCCGGCCGCGGCTCTATTCCGGCTTAAGCCCTGTGTGCAATGTCGCCGTCGCGGCCGGCGCGGGGCTAAAGCCGCCGGACGACCGGCCCCGCACCAGGCGGCCCGTGCGCGCTGACTGGGTGTGGTGACCAGAGGGAACGGATGGCGGTAGCGGCCGGCCGTCGCTCCGTCTCGGCGGTGGCGGGCCGGAGGCCGCCTCGTGACCGGGCGCGGGCCGCGGACGTCTCGTTAGCCGCCACGCTCGTTATGGCCACCGAAAGTCGGCGACGGGTCGGGACGAGTCCGGCCCGATCTGGGTCGCGGCCGGGAGCGCGCCCGCCGCCCGCCGAGCGGCCATTGTCCCGGTCGCGGCGCGCCCAGCGCCATTGTCGTCCGGTGCCGTTTGTCGTCCGCCGGGCGGCATGGTGGTTGGAGCCGGTGGGTTCCGAGCCGACGCTCGCAGCCAGACTGCCAGGAGTGGGGGCCCGGGGCTCTCGCAGATGCGGCGATGGGGCGCCTAGCCGACACGGCGCTGGTCCTGAGATTGACGCGTTTAGTGTGGGGCACTTCGTGCGTCAATATATTGTCGAGTTGTCTGTCAGAAGGCCACTCTCGTGGCATGGATCGTTGCGCATGGGTAGCGCAAAGATGAAATACGGGTTTCTTTCGCATTTCGGGTTGCCGCGTCGGTGCGAGACGGGAGGGGAGGGGGGGGGGAGAGAATGGCGTATCAAGTCTTTTTACTGCTGTAACGTCTCCTATGTGCCACTGGCACGAGTTGTGAGTGCTGTCAGGATTTGAGCCTTGCAACGTTCTGCAGTGAAATGTATGCTTGCCTGCTGTGACCTCCAGCCTGCGTTTCCTTGTCTTTACTGTTCGCCGCGTTCCTCAACTGGGTGGCACTCCACACCCCAGCTCTGTGGTTAATCAGCCACGGGATCACGCGCCGTGCCCCGGGCGACTTTTTTTAGTTTGCCTCGTTGTGAGGCCGCCCTCTTTGAAAGGTCGACCGGACCGGACGGCCCCCCCCCCCCCTCTCCGTCCCCCGAGACGGACGCTTTTTGCCCGGCACCGTCCCGTTGTCGCCCGCGAGAGCGGCGTGTGATTAACTGCCGGCACATTTGCATAACTGCGGCCAAGTTGGTCCGGGGAGGAGGTGGGCGGTGGGCGGTGCCGCCGACGGCGCGGGGCGGTGGATGAGCCCCCGCCTCCGCGGCCGACCAACGGGAGACAAGCGCTGTGTATGCGCCGTCCCTGCCCCGGCCGGTCGGACGGCCGGTCCCTTCTTGTTTCCTCGTACTGACCGACCTTTTCAGGGAGGGATTAGGCACGGCGCTTTTTACCCCAGGCGAGCCCATTGCCGTTAGGTATCGGCGGGCCGGCAGGAACCTGGCGCTGATGGAGCGCCTCTGAGGCCGTCACCGGCCCTTTGTCTCCGCTAATTCGGTCCGACTCGGGAAGCCATGCTTTAATGTAAATCGCGGCCACTGCTCTTCACCGTGACGAAGCGACATTATATAACTGCGGCGCGGCGGCCTCGCTAATAACGGCTGTTTTGTGAGAACGCACCTCGTCAGCCAGCGGCTCCCATCAGCTGCCGACGATGGGCCGAAATACAGCTGCCCAGTGAAAAGTGACGTCAGCTGAGGGCGGCCTGGCCTGGCCTGGCCCGTTCCTCCTTCCCTCCCCGCCGCAATATGTGTTTGTGGCGAGCCGCCGAGAGCAGAGGTCGCAATTAGCTGCGGGGGGGCCATCGCGGGCGTCCGGGCGGCGCTCATTGTCTCGCCGATGGTGAGTTATTGTCGCGTCCGAGGTCTCTGGGTGCGGGGCCGCGGCCGGCGCTCAGGTAATCTGGGCTCCGGTGGGCCAGGGCCCCCTCCACCTGGCGAAGAGCCGCGCGAACTCGGCGCTCCCGCCCTAACGGGCTACCTAGTTATGGGGGCGTTACTGCTGCTTGGCATAATTTCGACCATATTGTCGGCGTTTAAAGGCCGCCGTCGTTGTCGTAAATTCCTATGGCGATGGTATCGTCTTATGGACCTTTATCTCACTTTTGTTGCCCTACAAACTTCTCTTTGCAAACCGTAAAACTAAATTTGGGGTTTCCCAGCGGGTCGGGGACGGAATACTGATTGGAGCTGCCCCTACGTCCTTTTCTAGGTCGGGCATGTCCTGTGTTAATTGGCTCTCAGCGTAGATGAACGCTGTGAAATGGACGCCTGAATGACGCCATCTGTGTCCCTATCTCACTCCCCAAACTTAGATTGAGTCATCATGTGTCTTATTTAAGTTTCGATGAGCTCCTGTGTGATCCGGGTGCCCACGCCAGCCGAAGGTTATCAGAGCCTTGCGCCATTTCCCCATGCCATTTGGGGCCGGTGCGCGATCGAGAATCAAACGACGCCGGTCGGCGGAGCCGGGCGACTGCACCTGTTACGCCCCGGTCCGAGGAGGAGGTCCTGGCCGCGCGAATCTCTGTCACGCCCGTCACGCCTCCACTCCATGAGATCGGTTCGGGCTCCGCACGCTTTATGACTTTCTGGCTGACCATTTCTCAGTGATTCGCGTGATGCATCAACCCTTCGACGACTTCGTTTCGCGTTTGTGGGCCTTTGCTGGCGCGCTTATGCGTGGATTCCTGCCCTGGAACGCCTCACTCTCGACTTGCCGCGCAGGGAGCCGGCGAGGTCGGGCTCGGCGGCCGCCGGGTGCCGTCCCCACGCCGCAGGGCCGCCACGTGCGTGCGCCGCCGGCCTCCCGGCCTGCCTGCGCTCAGCATCCGCTGCATCGATCTCTGTCTGCCGGTGGAACGACCGGCGCCGCCGGCACGTGCCCGGGCGGTGGGCGGGCGCGGCGGGCCTGTTACTGCTCTGGCGCTCGGACGGCTGTCTTGTGCTGAAGCCCGTCAGCGGCTACAAGCCCTGAGTCCTTCAGCAGCGCAAGCTGCCTGACCCCGCTCCGCCGCCGTCCGATGTTGTACACTGCTGATCTCGATTATCTGTGGTGATGCGTGACCACGGTATCGTCGATGTCTGCTGTGTTGGCGGGTCCGAAGTGCCTGGCGGACGTCCATCTCTGTTGTACGAACACCCCTCTCGTCCTCGTAGCGATGGCGCGGCGCCGCGGAGCGATGCCCCCGCCCTACTCCGACACGGTCCCTGGGACGCGCCGCATCACGTTTCCGAGCCGGCCCGGCCGTGCCGCGGCCACCGGCGCGGCGACCGTTCGCTGCGGCGGCGGGTCGCTTTGTCGATGGCGTGACACCGCCTGTCAGCCGCCGGCCGGCCGACCGGGTCGGTCGGTCCGACGCGGCGCCGCGCTGTCGCCGTGTGACGGCGCCCGGCGCGGCGCTGGCGGCGGGCTGGGGCGGCGACGCGGGGCCGGCGTCCAGCCCTGGTGGCGCTGTGGCTGGAACCCGGACTGGAACGCAGATCAGGAGTTGAGTCTGATGATCTGTGATCAGCTGTGGCCTTGCTGAGGGAATCACCGAGCCTTGGTTGTTACCCTGAGCCCTGAGCCCCCCGAATCCGGGCGCCGAAGGTCACTTTAGTACAAGAGATATATGTTTTAACTGGCAAAAAATGCGCATCAAAAAGCCACAATTACCAGTGACCATTTTACCAGTAATTTTTCCAGTGATTACCATTGTTGCCAGTAAAACATCTATATCTTGTACCAGAGTGACGTTTGGCGCCCGAATTGAACAGGTGTAGTTGTCCGCCCACAACTATGATTCCATGGTTTGTCATGGGGCACGTAAACTCATACGGTGTCAAAAAGCAACATCACTGGCACCAGTGGGCACAGCGTTTGCAACGTAAGAATGCGTACTCCATAACCAGAGAACAGAACCAAGTTCCCACCCTGGTAGCGTTATCAATGCTGGCATCACAAGCAGGCGAAGGTCGGACGTGAGGTGAGTGCGGAAATAGGGACCGGCATGTCCACCCACTCACGGACACTCTCGGGTCTGAATGGCGCACCATCTGTTCCCATCGACCGGCACCATGTCCAGCAAGCGACAACCGTGACCGCCGACCGTGACCGCGGAACCCCGTGAGACTAGCGGGGGGCCGGCAAACGCCCGGCCTCTACGCGCCGCCCTCGGACGCGGCGCCGTCCCGGGAGGCGGTTGCTGCGGTGGCGGCGACCGTCGGCCGGGACAGCGCCGAGTGGCGGCAATAAGCACCGGCCGGTGACGGCCGCAC